CTGCCACAACTTCATTAACCGCATACTCCTTATTATCTGTGTTTCCACGAGATTTCTTGTAATTTGCATAATCCTCAAGAATGGAATCCACATTCTTCTTGGCAGGAAGATAAAAGAGCTGCTTTTGCCTGGTAATTAAGTCCCAGTCATCAACAAGCCACGGTTTTAGTTCTTCAGGAATCTTTACTTTAACTTCAACTCTGTTCATGAATGTTTCCTCATTTTCAACAGTAGGATCTACCCGGGCCCTTTTCTTCCGAGGAGGCTGAGGGGTCTCACTGGTACTGCCACCATCTCCATTTCCAGGTGTTTTCTGTTTGTTCTTTTTTGTTTTCACTTCAACATTTTTCTGTTGCAGACCAGATGTATTCTTTCCTGGGGCAACCCCTCTCATCTTCCCTTCTGCATACTGCTCCTGATTGGCTTTTTGAAGTTCTCGCTGTTTCTGCAAATTGGTGTCCACATATTTGAGTACTCGGCTCTCCGGAACCCACTCATCCCAATTTTTATTCCAACCACTGTAATGTATGAAGTATTTCACTTGTTTGTCCTTTATGGCAACCTTTACACACTTTGCTTCATACAGAAGAGGCCCATGAAAGCACAGCACTCGCTCACCCTCCTGGAATTTAGGCTTCGGGTCCTGCTTCGGCGCCATTTGTAAGTGATTCGCCGCCTCCTCCTTCTCCCACCACCCCCGACTACAGCCCCCTACTCTCTCTGTTTTGATTCTTAAGTAATTCTGGATCTGATGTGTTCACAGAGCCAGCAACAAAAACAAATAATAATACATGTGAAAAGAAGCAAAAAAAAGCATTAAAATTGTTCAGATGAAAACTATTTATATCATTAATGTATTCAAATGTGACCTCTGGTGAATTATGTATTATTTTTCTTTCACATTCCTCATCTTTTGAATCAGAATAACAATAATGCCTATATTGATGGATTGTTGTACACACCAGGGTTACAATATTAAAAAATCTTCACAAGGTACATCATCAACAACCAGTAACTATTACTATACCAATTGTTTTTTGAAGTATCCGGATATCATTTTCCAAAACCTTAAAAAGAAACATAATTCAGTAAACTATACTATATTACTTAGCATGATTATGCAAATTCTTATAGTTATTTATACTACCAATTTTGGGGGAAATTATAATTTCTATGTCTTCCAAGGAGTATTTCTCTCATTGTAGATGCATGAAAATCTATCCCCAAATGTTTACTGGTTTTCTTTCTTTGTAAAACATGCTTTAGGGGAAATTATCGTTTCTTCTTGGAATTCTGGAACTTGAAATAAAGAGTCTGCCGGTCAGCTTTGCCTGTTTTCTCTTGATCCTGGCATACAGCACATGAAAATGGTCTCCAAGGCAAAGCATTCTATAATCTGTATGCAAAGTAGTATTTTATTTATTTATTTAAGACAGAGTCTTGCACTATTGCCCAGGCTGGAGTGCAATGGCACGATCTCGGTTTACTGCAATCTCTGCCTCCTGGGTTCAAGAGAGTCTCCTGCCTCAGCCTCCTGAGTACATGGGATTACAGGAACACACCACCATGTCTGGCTAATTTTTGTATTTTTAGTAGAGACTGGGTTTCACCATATTGGTCAGGCTGGGCTTGTACTCCTGACCTCCAGAAATCCACCCGCCTCGGCCTCCCAAAGTGCTGGCGTGAGCCATCGCACCCAGCTGCAATGCACTTTTCATCCAAATTCCATGACTAGATCACTTTTTATCTTCCCACTGCCTTGTGTGGTAGCTGCTTGCTGCTCCTTTGAGGTATCTTTTTTAATGCAAAGGGTTAATGACAAGAAACTAATGTCTCCATAGTTAGAACCAGACCTTTCATTTAGGTAAAATGCTATACCAGAAATATGGATTCCTAAAGCCACGAATTATAGTAATTGCATGGAGTACTAAGAACTGCTCCTCACATGAGATAGCGAAAATGATAATGATGGCTATAATCTAAGACCCAAAAATATCCTTTACTTAAGTAGGGAATATAGTCAGCATAATGTTGAGCAAAACTGTGGAGCTATTGCTGTGTCACACATTATCCCCAAATTTAATGACATAAAACAAAAACTATTTATTATTTCTTATGAATCAATGAATAAACTGGGCAGCTGTGCTGGTCTAGGCCAGACTCTGGACTCTCATATGTCTGTGGTCAACTGACACATCAGCTGTGTCTTGCTGGTTCAAGATGTGGCTGGCTGGTCTCAGAACTGTCACATCATCACCTCTTGCTGCAGTCTTTCGGCCAAAGCAAGTTACACACCTAGCCCAGATTCAAGTGTTGAGAAAATAAGCTCCACCACTTCAAGGCAGGAGTTGAAAGCCACATTGCAAAAAGAAAGAATACTGGCTGGGTACAGAATTGGGGTCTGTTTTACAGTCAATCAACCCCAATTGCTTTTCCAGATTAAAAGGGGCAATACTGAGGTCCCCTCCTATATTGGATTACACCAACTCACTCATGGTAAGAATCATAGGTCAAAAGTGAGATGAGAGGTTTTTGAATAAGCTCTAACCCTCCATGAAGTTATCTATTAGCATTTAAGAAACATAACTATACAACTCCATATTGATGTTCTGTACTGGTTAATACATTTCTGCAACATTTGGCTTGATACAGATGTAGTTTCCCTATTTAATGGAGCCTTGATTTCTAAAATAGCATGTTCCCAAAGTATTTCTTCTTGCTTTCTTTCATGTATGTGTTTATATATGTATGTATATGCATGCATATATTGATATATATGTATTTATATGTGTATGTTTATGTACACATTTCCTACTTCACTTCTGCAGCATGCCGGCATCTTTGTTATCCTTTTCTTTCTTTCTTTCTTTCTCTCTTTGAGACAGTCTCACTCTGTCGCCCAGGCTGGAGTGCAGTGGCTCGATCTCAGCTCACTGCAACCTTCACTTCCTGGGTTTAAGCGATTCTCCTGCCTCAGCCTCCTGAGTAGCTGGGACTACAGGCTCATGCCACCACGCCTGACTAAGTTTTGTATTTTTAGTAGAGACAGGGTTTCATCATGTTGGCCAGCATGGTCTTGATCTCTCAGCCTTATGATCCACCCACCTTGGCCTCCCAAAGTGCTAGGATTACAGGTGTGAGCCACCATGCCCGGCCCATCCTCGTTATTCTTTAGCACTCTGAGGTACCACCTTATGGTTATTTTCTCAGGTTGCTAATTATTCCAAAGGTCACTGCCCAGAGGAGGAGAAATCACTTGCCTTACTGCAGCCAACTAGTTATACTACGGAAGAGAAATTTGGGTGAGAATGTTAATAAGCATGTTTATGCATTTCTTTATGTGGCTGTTCTGATAAAATATCCATAGGCTTAGCAATAGGGGGCTCAAAATCTGGCCTCTCATTTCGTACCTGGGATAGCTGCATTTCTAATCCTCCATCAGTTGCAGTGTTGTCATCGTCATTAAGAATTTAAAGAGCACCAACAGGCCTGGCTAATGTACAGAAAACAGAGGTAGCCACATCCTTTGCCCAGCAAGCTGTTGCATGATGACAGAGCTTCTGGTATGCATAAAGATCTGGAATCTCCCCATTTTTACTTACTTTATAAATCTAGACAGACTTCACTTTGGGGGTCCTATTATTAGGAGGAGACTACAGAGGAAAGATAAATCCCATTTGGTAAAGTAAGTGGTATGCCTGCTCCTGTAGCTACCCATGGTTTATTACTGTTGTGTGTTATTTCCAGCAGTATCTTATGTCTTCAGAATTCATTTTGCCTTGCTTTGTTTATGAGTACATTTGCATGAAAACAGGTTATCTGGACATTTGTCCTTTGAGAGCTTTGCTTATTCTTTCCTCCAAGTCAGGATCATGTCTTCCATGCCATGATCACTTCCATAGCCAAATGAAGATTTGTGAGCTGTAGTGAAAGATACAACATAAAGTCCTAAGAAACCAAAGCAATCTTACTGAAATTTGTTTTTTGTTTTTTACTTTGTTTAATTTGTTTATCGTTCATTGAGGATCCAAAGTTGCGTATTTGGACTGCATTTAAGTGTGTGCATGTGTAGAGAGGAGATGTTCACATTAGAGTGAAATTTGATTGTACAACTTTTATAGATGTAACCCAACCCTCTGCTTACAGAAGTTTTATTTTAGAGTCAGTAAACTATATGTGATTCTTTTTAGTTCATATCTTATTTTCCAAAGGTATTCAAAATATGAGCATCCGTATTCAAGCTTTATATTTTGTTTACTCCCATTTTGAGATAAGTTAAAAAAGAAAGTACCAAATATCTTATGTATGTGCAGATAAACTTCTGCTTTGAATTAAGAAACATGCTTACATATTAGAACTTGCAATAAACATCTGTACAGTTTTATTTCAGTATTTTACAAAGTGTTGTCACTGGAATATCTGTTAAAAATACAAATCATTGGCCCTTCATCGGTCCTGCTGAATTAGATTCTTTGGGAGTACAGGCAGTGTTATTTTCATTTTATGTTGATCTCCTAGGCAGGTTTATGATTATTAAAGTTAGAGAAACACTGCTAATCCTATCTCAGAATTAAATCTGATTGTTAGAAAACTATATACTGAGACCTCATTAATTTCCTAGAGAATTGCCTTCAGGGCACAATAATTTACTATTTTTTGTTTAATTTTTTTAAATCAAAAATCAGTATAAGAAATGGTAACATGTAAAGTCGATATGTACTTTTAAGAAACTATCATCAAACAACAGTTCATCATATTGTTCAGAGACCATCTTCATGGCCCTTTTCATGACATGGCAGCTGGCTACTGTAGTAGCTATTGGAGTAGGTTTCAGTTTTTGGCTTGTATGCATAATGCTGCTTTGAATATTTCTTTACAAAGACTTTGTAAGTACACTGTATGTTTCTATGCAGGAATAGTACAAGTTCTGCATCATGTGGCATGCAGACATTCACATTTAGTAAGGTACTCTGAGATTTCCAAAAGTGTTTGCATAAATGTTTACTTTTATAAGCAATACTCCAGTTGCTCTGTCCTTGAAAACATCAGATTTTGTGCGTATTCTTCATTTTAGCCATCCTGGGGTGTGTGTATAACATTATCTCATTGTGATTTTTTAATTTGTACTATTCTAAAAATAATGACATCCATTTCATTTTCCTGTGTTTATTGTCATTTGGATTTTCTCTTTTGTGAAATTCTTATTCCAGTAATGTGACTATTCTTAATATAGATATTCTGCTTTTTATTATTTGTCTGTAAAATTTCTTTCTACACTCTGAATATCATTTTTTTAAAGATATACGTATTACAAATATTTTCTCCCACACTGTGACATACAGTTACACTCTGTCAGTAATGTCTTTCAGTGAAGAGGTCCTCAATTTTAATATGGTTGACTGTATCAATTTTTATCTTTGTGTTAAACCTTTTTGAGCCCTATTGAGAATCCTTTGCCCACTCAAGACCAAGAATATATTCACTTTTTTTCTAAAACCCTTATTGTCTTATCTTTCACATTTAAATCTAGTATCTATATAGCAATTAAGATAAAGAATAATATGCCTTTTCCAGGAGGATTTATAACAGGAATTTAAACATGGTTTTGCAACTGAAAACTAATCAGTGTTGTGCACCATGTTATTAGAGAAAAAAGGGCGAAACTATATGATCATATTAATAGATGCAAACAAGTATGTGATAAAATTCAACTTT